TAGTGAATTATCTGGACACGTTCTGTCATTCCATGCGAGTGAATCACGGCCTTTCATTAGCACCGCGCGCGTCATCGTCGAATCTCGAATTTGAACTCTCGGCACGATCGTCGTCGCCAACGCGCGTCAGCCATTCCGATCGCCGATCGCCGATCGCCGTTGTTAATCTCGCCTCGTCGCTCGCGTCGATACTCACGTCTTCGAACCAGAGGATCGGGAATACAATGTCCGGGAACGAGGCGACCTGTTTGATGTCCCGCACCTGACTGACCGCCAGATTTATCTGAATTCTCGCCTTGGCTCTCAGCGACGCGCCCATCATCGGTTGAACGTCGATGTAGAATTGATGCTTGTCCTCGATAGGCGGCGATATCCCGGTCACCGCGTCCCGAAGCGTCGGGTCCCCTGAAACAGCAATTGTCATCGTCGTCGTCGTTGTTGTCGTTGTTTGAATGACTCGTCGAGACATCTCCGTGAAAGCATGAGTGCGCGTGCGCGCGCATGTGTGTGTGTGTGTGTGTGTGTTGGAGGACGCGCGAAAGTGAAGAGAGAATTTCGTCAATCGGTGTATCGGAAACGGTGTATTCAACTGGCTGGTATTCTTCCCAACGGAGAAAAATTCCCACGCACGCTCGCCAATTCGCGTGTGAATTTGCGCTCGTCGCGAAGGCTGCGTCGAGACGACTGCGACGACGACGACGACGACGACGACGACGACAGTGGCTCGCTGCGTGGGAAGGGAGGGGAAATTGATGTAACGAGATAAAAGCCGGAGATACGCGTGTAACGACACACACACACACACACACACACACACATATACAGGCGATTGTGTGTTGGAGCAGCAGTGGCGATATTATTGCCGACGTTACCAAGATAAAAATGTGGAAAACTGAGCAACACCGGAGAATCGTATTGGCAGAGGGAGGCGTTGAAGGTTCCCTCGGGAGCGCAGGGTGGACCGGCCGGGCAGAAGCATCGCTGCGATTCCAATCTGTCGGGAGAGGCGAACGCGTCCTCGGCCGGGACGAACCTGTAGCCGGGAACGCCACCGGCGGTGATCACCTCTTCCTGAAACGAGAATTCATCGAAAGCGAAATGCGACCGTATTTATTGCATTTGGGACGGGTGGTGTTTGCGCCAGCGACGCGTCGCGCTCACCTTAAAGACCAGGGGCAACGCCCTGCAAAGATCCTTGTCAAAGACTTTGAGGACGGTGTGCTTGGTGATGGGCGGCGGGAAGATACTGCCGTCGCTGCCGGCCACCGCGTCGCACTCCGGCGCCGTCCAGTGGCCGAGGTTGCTCTTTCCGTTCCACTTGTCCATCATGCCGTATTTACCGATGTCTCGCTGACCGGTGTAGACGGTGAACCAGTCCGGCATCGTGCCGTTCTTGCCGTAGAGCAAGCCGAACTGCTCGTACGGCAGCTTTTGCTCCTTCGGCACCACGTCCTTGGCCAGCTTGAGCAACGGATCCTCGTAGCCCCAGAGCAGCTGACCGATCGACACCTCGACGAACGGCTTTATCCGCAGTATGTCCATGATCGAGGCCATCGCCAGCCTGAGGAAACGCGCCGCGTGCTTCGACTGGCTGGTAGCCGACAGCATCGGCACGTTTGGCACAACCACCAGATCCTCCTCCGGCCCGACCGACAACTCCTGCAAAATTTCCCACTTTTCACTTTCCACTTTTTCTTCCTCTCCTCTCTTCTCCCTCTCTCTCTCTCTCTCTCATTCTGCTTCGCGCGAACCAAGCGTCGACTTTCTTTCTTTCGTCGCGAAACGACGGTGAAACGACGGTGAAACGACGCTTCCTTTTTCGTGCGAACACGCGTATATTGTTCGATCGTTCGCACCGTGGTGTTTCGGTCTTCTTAGCGTTCTTCTCCGACCCACATCGCACCCGCCTCCGACCCGCAAGCCCGCAAAAAGTAACAATACTGAGAAAGAAGGCCCAGCCTCGGGTGAACGCGCGTGTGTCAGAGTCGCAGCAACTCTCTTTCGCAGCATCTATATATACATATATCTATCTATCT